TGTAACTGTTACAGATTATTGAGGTAAAAAAAAAAAAAAAAAAGAATGCCTGTACCCCCACCCACCCCATGCTTTGGGAAATGAGGCTTGGGTTTTCCAGAAAAATTCTGAGTTTAAAATTTTTATCTTTTGGGAGTTGGAAAGCTAGCTCAGCAGTTAAGAGCATTGGCTACTCTTCCCGGAAGACCTACGTTCAATTCCCAGCACCCACATGACAGCTCACAACTGTCTGTAAAGCCAGTTCCAGGGATTCTGACACCTCACATAGACATACATGATCTCATACGTATTCATACATACATACAAAACATCAGTGCATATGAAATAAAAATAAATTTTATTTAAAGTGTCTTTTGGTTGGAGAGATGGCTCAGTGGGTAAAAGCACTTAATTGCTCTAAGTTTGGTTCCCAGCACCCACCTCAGGTGGCTCACCACCACTTGTAACTCCAGTTTAAGGAAGCTGGCACACATCTGAAATCTTAGCTTTCAGGAGGTGGAGGAGGGTGGCTATAAGTTAGAGACCAGCTTGAACTACACAGGAAGTTAAGGTCCTTTGTGGGAGGAGCTCAGTGGTTGTGAATTTGCCTAGCATACCTGAAGCCCTGGGGGAAACCCAGCACCTGACCCTCTCTCAGGACCCTAGATCATTCACATTCCAATAGTCGGCAGTTAAACTATTCATGTTTCTGTGTTTCATGCTTGAGGTTAGAAGTCATTTATCGAATTCATGGCCCAGCTTAGGTTCCAATAATGCTTGATGTAAGATGGGGACAGTTTGTCTCTGCACTGCGCTACCTGCTGTTCCAGAGTTCATCCATCTGCTGTGAGATGATGGGACAGAGAAAGACCTTTAGGGTGGAGGAGACTGGCAACTCCGGCATAGTGGCCTCATGAGGGTGGAAGGGCTGCTAAACCTCTCCTGACAGATGTGTAGGCCTCATGGAGTTCCATTACCCCATGGTGCTGAGAGATATCACAGGAAGGAAAAGGGAATTATTAGTCTAAAACTTGAAAAATACCTGACAATGGTCACAGCTGGTAGCACACACCTATAAGTCCCCACGCTGGGAAGGCCAGGCACTAGGATCCTGAAAACCAGGGGCTGAGTGGGCTGCGTAGTGAGTGAGTACAGTACTGGTCTCCTGGACCAGCAGTGTCAAACCTGTTAAAAATGTAAATCCCGCCGGGCAAGGTGGCGCCTCCTCTAATCTCAGCACTTAGGGAGGCAGAGGCAGGCAGATCTCTGTGAGTTCGAGGTTGGCCTGGTCTACAAAGTGAGTCCAGGACAGCCAAGGCTACACAGAGAAACCCTCGGAAAACAAAACAACAACAACAACAACAAAAAAAAAAAAAAAAAAAAAGAAAGAAAGAAAGAAAGAAAAGAGAGAAGAGAAAAAAGAAAAAAAAATGTAAATCCTACTCCAGAGCCAATGAATGAGAAACATTAAGGGAGGGTCCAGCTGTCTGGGGTCTTACAAGCCTGTTGGTGGTCTTGGCTTAAGCGTTAGTCTTCTAACTACTGTGCCAGGTTTCCGGTTTTTAAACGTGGCAGATGGTGATGTCTCTCTCGAGTCCATACCAAGGGTGCTTGAGACCGAACCCAGAGACTAATATATGCTAAGCATGTACTCTGCTACTGAGTGGCACCCTAGTTCCCCGGTAAAGATTTCTGGAGGCTCCATAGCTGGTTCTGTAGTGCAGCGAAATCTAAACTCTATGTGGCAATGTAGCTTTTTAACTCCAAGGATGGTCCATGGAACAACGGCATTAATATCACCAGGGAGCTTTATAGAAATGCGCATTGTCAATCTTACCCAACTCCACTGAAGCAATATACCATTTAATTAGATCTCTTGTGGCTCCTAATGCACCTTGAAGAATGAGAAGCCTATCCTGTATTAGAGGAGAGTAGTTTACATTCATACCCTTTCTTGTCCAATAGATGAGCCAAGGACTTACAGCTTTGCCGTCCAGCCATCCTTACCATCTTCTGATGTCCAGTAGCAACAGCCAGAAGATTTGAAGTTTGCTGTGTAGCTAAACGGTTCCCTCAACAATTATAAACACAATGTACATATTCTCTCTGTGTGTCTGTTTCTGTCTTTCAGTCTCTCTGTTTCTCTCTCTCTCTCTCTCTCTCTCTCTCTCTCTCTCTCTCTCTGTGTGTGTGTGTGTGTGTATAGGCAGCACATATTCCATGGTGCACATGTGGAAAGCTTTCAGGAGCTGTTTCACTCCTACCATGTGTGTGGGTTCTGGGCAAAAAAATCAGGTCATCAGGCTTGGCAGCAAGTGCCTCTACCCACTGAGCAATCTTGCTGCCCTCATTCCTCCTTTAAAAACAGTTGTATGTCACTTAGGTCTTTTTTTTTTTAAGATTCATTTATTATTTATACAGTATTCTGCCTGCATATGTGCAAGCAGGCCAGAAGAGGGCACCAGATCTTATTATAGATGGTTATGAGCTACCATGTGGTTCCTGGGAATTGAACTCAGGACTTTTGGAAGAACAGCCAGTGTTCTTAACCTCTGAGCCATCTTTCCAGCCTGTCGCTTAGGTCTTGAACTCACTGTGTCTGTAGGATAACTTTGGATTCCTGATCCTTTGCCTCCTCCATCTTGAGTGCTGGTTTTCCAGGCGTGAGCCACCATGCCAGGTTGATGGGGTGCTGGAGATCAAACCCAGGGCTTTGCACACACTAGATAGGCACTCTACCCACTATGCTACCTGGCCAGCTCACACTCATTTTTGTTGGCATGAAAGGGAGAGAACACTGCTGGAGAGGTGGCCTGCGTTAAAACTCCACTTCTTAGGGTTGGAGAGAGGGGTCGGCGGTTAAGAGAGCATACTGTTCGCTACAGAGGACACCTGAGTTTGGTTCAGCACCCATACTGGGTGTCTCCCAAATGTCTGTAACTCTGATTCCAAGAGAATCCCTTGCCTGCAGGCTCCGTGGACACCTGCGTTCACATGTACATTCCCACACAATATACATAATTAAAAATTATAACAAAACAAAAACTTGAGTTCTTAGCTTGAAACCGAAATTACTTCAAATTCACCTAAATCTGTGAAATATATACCATATAGAACACATGCGCATAAGAGAGGGAGAAAGAGAACTTTAGCTGCTTTACCAATAAAGGCGCACATAGGATGTTTCACTAAATATTGTCTAAGAGTCTCTGATTTATCCTCAGAGAAAGTGTTTTCTCCCCAAGCAACACTCCCAGCTGACCTGGAAGCCTGCAACTCCCTCCCCCACAGTCTGGACTCTGCTTCATCCTTCTTGCTCCTTGTCTGGTGGTGTCTGGACACCCCCGGGAGAAGTGGATGAAGGAATCACATTCCAGGACAGCGAGACCCTGTCTCAAAAAACAAAAACTAAACAAAAACCAACAACAAACATGAACGTAGACTGATATATCCTCTTTGTTTTTTATTTTATTTTATTTTACTTCAGTTTATTTACTTTACATCCCAAGGGTACCCTCTCCTTTTCCCCCCAGAAAAGAGGAGCCCCCTCCACCAAATTATTTATTCATTTATTCATTTATTCATTTATTTATTTATTTATTTATTTATTTATTTATTTATTATTTGATGTATATGAGTGCTCTCTATCTGCAGGCCACAAGAGGGCATCAGATCACATTATAGATGGTTGTGAGCCATCTTTGGCCATAAGGTGAGTTCCAGGCTAGTATGAACTACATGAGATCTTGTCTTGGGGGAAAAAAAAAGAGAATGAATTAAAAAAATTTTTTTGTTTGTTTGTTTTTGGATTTTCAAGACAGGATTTCTCTGTGTAGCTCTGGCTGTCCTGGACTCACTTTGTAGATCATGCTGGCCTTGAACTCACAGAGATCCACCTGCCTCTGCCTCTCGAGTGTTGGGATTACAGATGTGAGCCACCACTGCCCGGCTGAATTAAAATGTTTTAAAATGGAATTTACTGGCGTAGTGTTTGCTACTCCAAGATGCTAAGGTAAGAATGTGCATGGCTGTAACTGGAAGCAGGGACCCTCGCTTCTGAGGCGCAGGCTGGTAGTGTTCCGAAGACCCTGGTCTCTTGGTAGAGGAAACTCAGAAGAGCTCAGTGTGGAGAAGTACACAGCGTTTAATTTAGTAAATGTTACTCATCTCTCCTTAGCTACTGATTGCAAAAGAACAATCTTATCTATTCAAAACCTTTAAATAGGAGTTTGAGTTATCCTTTAGTGGTTTTCCAGGTTTAAATATCGTTTGAACCCAAGTGTTACAGATGAAGCAACTACTGCTTCTGCTGTCTCACCTTCTTGGCCCAGCTGGAGTTCTAGGTATTTTCTATCTCTTCCTCTCCCTTCTCTCACTATGACTCCATTCCTCTTTTCATTCTTTTACAGGCTGGTGCCCGAAGAAGGCATCTGCTTCCCTGGAACTGAGTTTCAGGAAGTTATGACCAACAACTGGAGATACAGTTGTTAGCCACAGTGTGATTGCTGGGAATTGAACTCTGGTCCTTTGAGGAGCAGCCAGGGCTCGCTCTTCACAGCCATCTCTCCAGCCCCGTGTTCATCTTTCTTTTGAGACAGGATCTCACTGTCTTGGAGCTTGCCATATAGGATAGTCTGGGATTTACCTGTCTTTGCTTCCTCAGCACTGAAATTACAAGCACACAGCACCACAGCTGTTTTATGTGGATTCTGGGAGTCAAGGTCAGGGCCTGGTGCCTGGCAAGCAATCACGCAACCGACTAAGCCACCTCCCAGGCCTCTTTCTTGTCATTTTAGTGTGTGTGTGTGTGTGTGTGTGTGTGTGTAGACCAGAGGACAGCTTGCTGAAGTTGGTTCTCGCCTTCTACCGTATGGGTCCCAACGATGAGACTCGGGGAGTCAGACACGGTGCAGGCACCCTAGGGCCACTCTGCTGCCCACCTCTTCCAACTTGCCTTTTTGTTCCTTTCTCTCATCCCAGCGGAGAATTGAGCCGACACTGTATGCTTCTCTTTATTTCAGATTTTGAGATACAGAGTGAGAATGGGGTGAACTTAAATCAGGACATGTTTGAGGATGCGGAATCGCACGAGATGTTCTTGAAAATACCCGGAGGTCAAGGTCAGCAATCCGATGGGGAGAGTGACTGTGAGAGAGACTGTGGCTCCGGGGCCGCCCAGGGAAGGGCCCCCGGGGAGGCCCACAGGGACAGGCCATCCGGAGGAAGGGAGGCTGGCCAGCTGATAGGCCTGCAGGGCACCTACCTGGGCGAGAAGCCTTACGAGTGTCCCCAGTGCGGGAAGACGTTCAGCCGGAAGTCCCACCTCATCACGCACGGACGGACCCACACGGGAGAGAAATACTACAAGTGCGCCGAGTGCGGGAAGAGCTTTAGCGACGGCTCCAACTTCAGCAGACACCAGACCACCCACACGGGAGAGAAGCCTTACAAGTGCAGGGACTGCGGGAAGAGCTTCAGCCGGAGCGCCAACCTCATCACCCACCAGCGGATCCACACGGGGGAGAAGCCGTTCCAGTGCGCCGAGTGCGGCAAGAGCTTCAGCCGGAGCCCCAACCTCATCGCGCACCAGCGCACGCACACGGGCGAGAAGCCCTACTCCTGCCCCGAGTGCGGCAAGAGCTTCGGCAACCGCTCCAGCCTCAACACGCACCGGGGCATCCACACCGGCGAGAAGCCCTACGCCTGCAGGGAGTGCGGCGAGAGCTTCAGCTACAACTCCAACCTGATCCGCCACCAGCGGATCCACACCGGGGAGAAGCCATACGCGTGCGCGGACTGCGGCCAGAGCTTCAGCCAGAGCTCGGCGCTCATCACGCACCGGCGCACGCACACGGGCGAGAGGCCCTACCAGTGCGCCGAGTGCGGCAAGAGCTTCAGCCGCAGCTCCAACCTGGCCACGCACCGGCGCACGCACCTGCCGGAGAAGCCCTACCGCTGCGGCCTGTGCGGCAAGGGCTTCAGCCAGAGCTCCAGCCTCATCGCGCACCAGGGCGTGCACACGGGCGAGAAGCCCTACGAGTGCCCGACGTGCGGCGAGAGCTTCAGCTGGAGCTCCAACCTGGCCAAGCACCAGCGCACGCACACCGGGGAGCGGCCCCACGAGTGCGACCAGTGCGGCCGGCGCTTCGGCCAGCGCTCGCAGCTGGCGGCGCACCAGCGCACGCACACGGGCGAGAGGCCCCACCGGTGCCTCCTGTGCGGCAAGAGCTTCAGCCGGGGCTCCGTCCTGCTGATGCACCAGCGGGCCCACCGCGGGGACAAGCCCTACCGCTGCCCCGAGTGCGGCAAGGGCTTCAGCTGGAACTCCGTCCTCATCATACACCAGCGCACCCACACCGGGGAGAAGCCCTACAAGTGCCCCGACTGCGGCAAGGGCTTCAGCAACAGCTCCAACTTCATCACTCACCAGAGGACTCACCTCAGAGAGAAACTTAGCTGAGAGGGCGGCAGGGCAAGGGGAGGGCTCCCACCGGGCCCCATTGTTCCTTTAAAAGAAACGCTTGTCCGTAATACGCTGTGAGTTTCTGCCAGAACCGCACCCTGTCTGTCCTCATTTCTAGGATACCGTTATCTTAGTGGAGTCCTGTGCAGTTGAGTGGAGTATAGGAGCGGAAGGTTGGAAGGCAGGTCTTCTCTGTTCGCTGATTGCCCTCCCCCATGTTCCTGTGTTCTTCCGAGCCGTGTGTGAAGACAGTTTGGTCTGCAGTCTAGGCTGAGCCCTCAGACAAACACTGGACACTATTTGTGTGGCTCTGATTGTGTCGCTGTCACTTTGTGCCCGTAAGGTGCCTTTACCCCCAGCTGCTAGCGCTCCAGCCCCCTCACCCGCCCGAGACTCTTGCTGGCTTTGGTGTCAGGTCAGGAAGCTAGATCTTCTCCAATTCTGAACCATCGACGTGAAGGAAAGGCCTTTTCCAGTTCAGAGTGTTGAGAGCGCATTCTGGGAAGTGTGGCCTGGAACTGGCGTCCCAGTGTGTTCCCTTGGTAAAAGGGACGGTGACTGCCAGGAATGGCTTAGACTTGTGCACGCAGTCCCATGGGACGTGGCTGTGCGGGGAGCACTTGTGGACACACGGTTTTGTGTTTGGAGCTCGATGTCTGTGTCCTCCACCCGTCCGGTAGCTTCTGCCCCATTAGAGTGAAACAGTCCTGTGTGCTGTAGGCGGTACCTGCATTTCTAAACCACTGTGTGTTTTTTTGCTCCTTGTTCATATTTTACACACACACAGCATGTGTATGGAAACAAGATCCCATGTAGCTCATGCTGGCCTTGAACGTGTAATGTATTTGAGGATCTTGAACTTCTGATCCTCTTGCCTCCACCTCCTGAGAGCTGGGATTACCAGTATGTGCCACCCTGCCTCATTTATGCAGTGTGGGGGATGGGGCCATGACACTACTGAGTTATCTTCTCAGCCCCTTACGTCTTTCCTTTCGTTTGGGTGAGTGTGTGCTGGCCAGTGGTTAACCTCCAGCGTCATTCCTAAGGCACTGTCTCCCTGGGGTGTTTGAAACAGTCTCCCACCGGACTCTCAGCTTAGACTAAGCTCCTGGCTGCACGGCCCCCAGAACTGCCTTCCCAGTGCTAGGGTCACAGGCCAGCGCCACCACGCGTGGCCTTCAGCATGGGTGCTAGGATTGCACTGAGATCCTCACGGTTTCACAACATGTATGTGCCAACTGAACTTTCTCTCCAGCCCCACATTTAAAATTTTATGTGTGGATCTAGAATACTGTCCTGCAGGTGTTGTATAGCAAGGGAATTCTTTTTAAGGAAGTGTCAAATTTGCCCTCTTCTGACCTCTATGGGCACAGACCCACATGGTGTACATACATACATGCAGGCATAACACCCATACACAAAATAAAATAAATCTTTTTTAAAAAGGGAGAAAAGAAAGAAGGAAATCCCCTGGTGAGGATTTGGTCTTGAATTAGTTTGTTCTGCAGATTCACACTTAATCTTAGTTGTTCCTGGTCTTTATTCTTAGGATTCCCACCCATGAAAAGTGAAGATAGGATGTTAACTAGAGAAGGGAGTTGTTAAGAGGAAAAAGAGAGATACAGTATCCTGAGAAATGTGAAACCATCATCTAAGTAGGAGGCTTATGCAAGGAGCATGTAAAAAGATGGGTGCTGAATATTGCCAATTAGAGTCCCATTCTTTTCCTGACTTTGCCTTAAAAAGAAAAAAAAAAAAGCGGGGGGGGGGAATTGAGCTATCCGTTTCATACTAGCATAGAACTTGTGAGCCTTCTTGAGTGCTGTGATTACATGCCTGGCTTTCTAGTCCCTGAGTCTTTTTTATTTTGTTTTTGTTTTCTGAAACAGTTTTTCTCCGTGTAGCCCAGGCTGTCCTGGAACTCACTTTGTAGATCAGTCCGTCCTTGAATTCATAGAGATACACCTGCCTCTACTTCCTGAGTGCTGGGATTAAAGCCATGCATCACCCTGCCCAGCTGATTCTTATTTTTTAATGTGTGTTAAAAACTTGTACTTGGCCAGGCATGGTGATAAACACTTTTAGTCCCAGCACTCAGATGGCAGAGGCAGGCGGATCTCTGTGAGCTCAAAACCAGCCTAGTCTACAAAATGAGTTCCAGGACAGCCAACAGCCAGGGCTACATAGTAAGACCTAGTTTCAGTGGGGGAAAAGAAAGAAGAAAGAAAAAGGAAAGGAAAGAAAAGAAAAAGGAAAGGGAAAGAAAGAAAAGAGACAGAAAGAAAAGAGACAGAGAAAGGAAAGAAAAAAAAGAAGGAAAGAAAAGAAAGAGAAGTAGACTTTGTGAGGAAGCCTGTACCTCACTTCCATACCCCACCCGCCCCCTGCTGCAGGCTAAAAGTGGCCTAAGACTTGTAGAAAGAAAAAATGAGTTGTTTCAAAGAACATGTCATTTGCTGTGCAGTGATGGTCCATGCCTTTAGTTCCAGCAGTCAGAAGGCAGAGACAGGTAGACCTTTGAGTTTGAGGCCAGCCTGGTCTACAAAGCAAGTCAAGGACAGCCAGAGGTACACAGAGAAAGCTTGTCTCAAAAAACTGAAAATAGATAAATAAACAAATAATAAAATAGGCGACATATCATTGGGTTAGAGTCCTACCACTCTATTTGCGAACCATTCAGCATATTTGTCGCCCAAGTGTGGTGGCTCATGCTTATAAACCCAGCACTTGGAGGCAGAGGTAGGAAGATCACAAGTTTGAGGCCAGTCTATGTAACTCCAGGCCAGCCTAGCTACCTGTCACTCAAGATTTGGCATGACACATTTGGCTAAGGAGTAAGACAGCATTAAGACTCATCTCTATTCAGAATGAGTTAATTGAGACAATGAGGAAATTATTATATATATATTTTTATTTGTTTTAAGGGAAAACTACAAAGTCCTATTAGATGTCAACAGTTATTTGAGTCTATTCAGGAAGGCACGGAAGCTGCGTGCCAGAAAGAGAGCATAGCTAGAATAGTTTACCAGTTGACGTTAAGTTTCTCATGTAGCTCTTGCTAGTCTTAAACTCCATATGTAGCTAAGGATGATCTTGAATTTCTGAGCCTCATGATTTTATTTCCTAAGTGCTAGGATTACAAGCATGTACTGACATAGCCACCTTAGAGTTTTAGTATAATTTATGGTAATACCTATTCTGAGATTACAAACTCTTTTTAGAATCCAGCTCACTGTGTGATAATAACTATAAATATTTTCTAGTTGGCTCACTTCACAGAGATATATATAAATTCATGAGGCAGATGGAGCTCAAAAATTTGAGTACCGAGTTCCTTATACTGTCCTTTGACAAGATAATTATCACTTCAGTGCCCTCTCAGTAATGTCAGTATTGTATCACTGACAATATTTGTAGAAATCAACCAACATCCCAATGATATAACTAATGTTTTTGAAATGTCCCATATAGTCAAAAGCCAGCTGGAAACCAGGTATCTATTTTAAATATATCTTTCCTTCTTTAGATTATTTAATTTTATTTCATGGGTATAAATGTTTCCCCTGCATGTATGTCTGTGCGCCATCTGTGTGCAGTGCTTATTGAGGCCAGAAGAGAGTGTCAGGTCCCCTGGAACTGTAGTTATGGACATTTGTGAGCCATCCATGTGGGTGCCGGAAATCAAACGCAGGTCCTCTGGAAGAGCATCAAGTGTCCTTCACCGCTGAGCCGTCTCTCCAGCCTGCTTAAGGATTTATTTATTTGAGGTGTGTGTGCTGATGCTTGAGGAGGCCAGAAGAGGGTGTAGGGTCCCCTGAAACTGCAGTTACAGGTGGTTGGGAGCTGGCCCATGTGGGTGCTGGGAACCAAACTCCTCTGGAAGAGCATCAAGCACTCTTAACCACCAAGTGCTTATAGAAGCTTATTCTGCAATTTGAAATCTAGATCCTCGCCACCCTCATATGGACAGGAAGTGAAACCTCAGATTTTGTATTGCTTTTACTCTTTATTTTTGGCTTTTTAAAATTTGAGACAGTGTATTAGTCAGGGTTCTCTAGAGTTTATCAGAACTTATGGATGAGATCTCTCTAAACAAAGGGGATTGATTAGAATGACTCTGTGGTCCAGCTAATCCAGCACTGGTTGCCTATGAATGGAAAGTCCAAGAATCCAGTAACTGTTCCATCCTTGAGTCTGGATGTCTCAGCTGATCTTCAGGACAGGATGGAATCCCGAGGAAGTTGCTCTAATGCCAGTGAAGGAATGGGTTTGCTGAAAGGGTGAGAGAAAGCAAAGAGAGAAGCTCCTTTCTTCCACGACCTCTTACAGGCTGCTGGCAGAGGGTGTGGCTCCTATCTAAGGTGGATCTTCCCACCTCACAGATCCAGATTGGAAGTGGATCTTCTCACTTCAAACGATCTAGTTAAGCAAAGGTCCCTCACAGGTGTGCCCACCCATTTTTGGGTTTTAGTTAATTCCAGATGTGGTCAAGTTGTCAGCCAAATCACCATCACAGAAAGGCCTTGCTCTGTAGCTGTGGCTGGCCTCACAGCTATCCTCCTGCCTCTGCTTCCCAAGTACCAGGACTACAGTCTTGTGTGCTGCCATGTCCAGCTACCCTCACACATGAATCCACTGAATCACTACATTCTGAAACAATCCCCTTACTTTAAAGATCTTACTGAAATATGGCACATAGGACATTAAAGTATACAGTTTGCTTTAGATTCACAAGCTGCACACACACAACCAGCGCCCAGATCCAGGAACAACCGAGCATCCTTATCAAGATGTGCCACTCTGCACCTGCCTGGAGTTTATGGGGTGGGAAGCTCATCAGACCTGGCTCTAGACAAATTTGTGTCACACAGTCATAATGAGATGACTTCTCCACAGAACTCCCCTTTGGATTACATAGTGCAAGACACCCGTTAATAGCTTATAGCATAATCAAAAGGTCCAAAGCAGTGACAGGGCAGCTGTGCTCGCTCCTCCTGCTCTCTCACTGGGAACTCTGGGGGAAGTGGCCCCAACTGGGGCAGACTGGAGACTCGGTTGTGTGGTTAGTGCATTACTAGCACCGGTTACTCCTGCGGTCGCTTAGCTACACTGTATTAGTTCCTTTGAATTTTTTATTTTTACTTTGGCTTATACAAGACAAGGTCTGGCAGTATAGCCCAGGCTGGCCTCTGATTTATAGATCTCCTGCCTCAGCTTCTCACACAGGGCACTCACATTTATCACCAAAGCTGTAAGCGAGGGCATGGTGATTGGGTGGTGGCCCACCTTTAATCCCAGCGTTCCGGAGGGAGGCAGAGGCAGGGGGATCTCTGAGTTCGGGCAGGCGGGAAGGCTCTGTGGGTAAAGGAGTCGGCCACCTAGCCTGACAACCTCAATTCAGTCCCTGGGGCCTCTATAGTGAAAGAAGAATGCCAGCTCCCGGAAGCTGTCCTCTGACCTCCACATCTGCATCACCGCAGTCACTCCCCACCCCCCATATAATTTTTTTGAAGGTTTTAAAAATCAAAGCAAAGCACAAGACATGATAATAGGAACAAATGGATGAAAAGAAGAGATAGTAAGTAAAAATGATATGTTAGCTAGCTTTTAATCTTTTCCTAGTCAGTCAAGGGAATGTTGCAATTCTAACTGACTGATTAGTCCTTGCAAGTAACAAATCATGACCTTTCCTGGTCCTTTACCCCTGACTGGGATAGGGGTCACTCTCTCCTAATCAGGAAGCTCCTCAGGGCATAGCTGCTTTATTCCACTGGCTGGTTCTCACTGGGCCATGGAGATTTCCACATGGAGGGTTCTAAC